GTAATCTTTATCTCGAAATGCGGTACTGTGGTATTCTCCGAACCTGGGGATGTGGCTTTTTAGCACGTTGAACAGTATTAAAAATTATCCTCCTAGTCCTCCAACGTTTTTCAAGCCTTTTCTAGCTTCCAATTGGACATTCCTGATGAAACTTAGCTCTCATGGTAACGGTAAACTCCAACGTAAAACCAAATTATCATTTTTTTTGTTTTCTTTTAGTATTAATGAGAAGTTTACTGTTTTGCTTGCACTAAAGCTAAAATATTCTTGTAAAAGAAAGCCACAAGCATACAGACAGTCTCCTCCTACTTGGCAGAAGTCTTTTGTTATGACAAAACCTGTAGTTATCTTTGTCTTGTTGCTGTTGTAGTTTTTTGATCAAACCGAACAAGTGTTGAACAAGAACGATTTCTATTCTTAGTTATTTTTCGTTTGCTTGACACTGAACAGTTTAACAATTATTCTAAACTAAAACTCAAGCATGCTTTGTTTGTTTGATTGTGTTTTCACGTTAAGGCAATGAGAAGTTATTGTTTTGCTCAAGCGAAACAGAAAGCTAACCTAAACAGACAAAATGAAAGCTCTGGGCCAAGTTGTTCAGAAGCCAGTTAATGCTAACCCAGGATTAAGAGTTAACCGAAGAGTTGATTTTTCTTGTATCAAAATGTTTTTCACTGCTTATGTTTTGTGTAGTTTGAGATTATTCAAACTTAAAACTGAAGAATAAATGAATACGGTGAATAACTTTTTAAACCACGCATAATTAAACCATGCATGTAACATGTATTTTTCCTGCTGACAATCTCTGTAAAAATTAGGTGCGCAAAGTGTACTTGTGTGGGCTTAGATTTACTTTTATTCCATTCAGTTTGAAAGCCAGTTTTAAATGTCAGTATTTGGGAGTTAAAGTACTACAAGTGAATAGGCCATCACTAGAAAGATAAAGGTATAAATTTAAATATATAAGGTAATATTGATTATTAGGTATCAACACAGGTGAGTTGTTATTAATTTTATTGAAGATTGTTTTCAGATATCAAATTAACTCATACATGTACTGTCAAGAGGGTTTGCTGCCATATCTAAGCCAGTTACATAATAAACTCAGCAACGGAGAATTCAACAGTTGGTCCCAAATTGACACCTTGTCAATAGTGTTGATTCCACTGAAGTTCTGAATACGTTTTGTCATGACTGGAAAGAAATATTGTCACGTGGAATGAGAATAATCAATTTGCATACAGGCTGTAGGTTCTTTTGTTGATTGCCAGCTTTAAGATGATGCAAAATGTAAAATGTTCCTGTAAATGCAGTAGAAACAATATAAAAAAGATATTGTTCATACAGTCTGCATGCTTCTTTTGATACATGTAGATCCTTGTGATGTTAAAAGTATATGTTAACGATTGACTAGTAGTTTGCATAACAATTTCTGAATAGAAGAGTGCATCCATGTTTGTTGCTGGATTCAATATTAATCTTAAAGTGGCTGCTAGCATACAGTTGTATAAAGAGTTGTGTACTAGAGCTTCCAATGCCTCACGTGAAAAGTATACAGTACAGGTTTATCAGCTGGAACTTGATAAAAAGTCACTGCTACATGACAAGCATCAAAATTATGTCTAAAGGAGTGTTGAAAAATTGCTCAGTGTGCTTCACTTTGGTTTACCAGGTTCTTATGCTCAAATGACCTGGTACAGATGTCTCTCATTGTAGGTGTTATAATTGTTTTGTCAAACCCAATACTACTTTGATCGGTTGGATCTGTTTTAAAATACAAGAGGATAATAACATATTTTTTATCATGCTATTCACAGTGGAAAGTTAATTAATTAATTAAATGTTATTTGAAAAACACAAT